GACATATGAGGGCTTAATGCTGCCATTTTATCACTTGTTTTCCAGTTGTTCCATATTTCCCTTGTTTCTCATCCCATGTATTTCCAACTGCCAGTTCAGTTTGGTGATTCTGTATGATCGTTTTCTCTTTATTTATCATTTGTGTCTGTGTTCTGATTATTTGTTTAGTTGTTACCATGAGGTTTGTGTAAAAAATCTAGTAGATGAGATAGTCCATTTTCTGATAGCCTCATATTTCCTTAGTCTAAGCAGGTTCCATGCCTTTCCTCTTCCCCTTCTAAGTTATTGTCACAACTTATTCCATTTTGTGATGTGAATTTGTGGTTAAAATGACGAGATTATAGTTATTCTTGATCTTTTCCTTCCTTTTATCTTTAATGTTATAATTAAGTGTTTGCTAACCTGTTCTGATAGAAAGCTGCAATTTTCTGACTTTGTCTGCCTATTTATCTCCTTGCTGAAGGCTTTGTAAAAACCCTTTCTTTTTTTTACAGGTATGAGGGCCTTCTTGATCATTTCTTGTGTGTGGGGGTGGGTCTTGTGGCAATGAACTCCCTCAGCTTTTGTTTATTTGGGAAGATTTTAATTCTCCATCATATCTGAAGGATAGTTTCACTGGATAGAGTATTCTTGGGTGAAAGTTTTTGTCTTTCAGAATTTTTAATATATCCTTTCACTCTCTCCTACCCTGTAAGGTTTCTGCTGAGAAATCCACTGAAAGCCTTATAGGGGTTCCTTTGTAAGTTATTTTCTTCTGCCTTGCTGCCCTTAATATTTTTTCATTGTCATTGATTTTTGCCAGCTTTACTAGTATATGCTGTGGAGGAGATCTTTTTACAATGATGTAATTAGGAGTTCTATTAGCTTCATTTACATCTAATTCCAGCTCCTTCCCCAGGTTTGGGAAGTTCTCAGCTATTATTTCTTTGAACAAGCTCTCTGCTCCTTTTTCCCTCTGGAATACCTATAATCCTTATGTTGCATTTCCTAATTGAGTCAGACATTTCTCAGGGAATTTCTTCATTTCTTTTTTAGTCTTAGTTCTCTCTCCTCCTTCATCTGAAGCATTTCTATATGTCTGTCTTCCAAATTGCTAATTTTGTCCTCCATAGTATCAGCTCTGTTATTCAAGGACTCCAGAGTTTTCTTTATCTCATTCATTATGGTTTTCATCTTCTACATTTCTGATTAGTTTTTCTTTATGGTTTCAATCTCTTTTGTGAAGAATTCCCTCTGTTCATTAATTTTATTCCTAATTTCATTGACCTGCCTGTCCGAATTTTCTTGTAACTCGTTGAGTTTTTTTATGATAACTATTTTGAGTTCTGTATCATTTAGATTGTAAATTTCTCTGCCTTCAGGATTGATTTTTGGGTGCTTGTCATTTTCTTTCTGGTCTGGACTATTAAGATACCTCTGCTATTTGATGGGGTAGATTTGTGCCTTCGCATAGTGATAGTATCTGGTCACAGATTCCCCCTGCCGCCACTGGGGATGGGCAGGAGCTTTGTATTCTCAGCCTGCCATGATCACTGGCTTCTGTGCCACTCCTTTGGAATATGTGCTGTTGGCCCATCTGCAATTGCGTGCTTACCACTGCTGCTTTACAAATGTATGTGCATGCACTCTGGGGAGGTGCCTTCCTCTGGCTGACTGGCCAAGCTGGTGCGCTGGGCGGGTTGAGGGGCACTTTCTTTTGCGTGTGCAATCCTGGGGGCGTTCTCGCTCTGCCCTTGCTATCTGCCCTCCTGGGGTGCTGGCTTGATGAAGACACCCCCAGTTGCTCAGCCTCCTCTGTGTGGAGCTTTCCCATGGGCTCTGAGGCAACTCGGAAAGCAAAGGCATTCCTTGGAGAGCTTCCCCTCCCCCTTCTCCTCTCAGAGGCATGCGTGATCCTGCACCCTAGCTCACTGCCAGGGAGGGAGAGGCGATCCCCTTACCTCCTTCCACTTTCTCCAGGGAGTCTAGAGCCTCCACCTTCAGGCATATGGCTGTGTGGGTCTTTCAGATGTCTGTCGTGTTGTGTGAATGTCCTCTGTTGGTTTATAAATGTCCTTTTCATTGTATCTTAGTGGGGAGAGACTAAGGGAAGAGCTCACTCCACCATGATGCTGATGTCACTCTCCCTGTTCGGTTATTTTTGAGTTTTATAAAAAGTTCAGTGATCATATTTTTAATTTTCAAGGACTGTGTCTTTTTAATTACAGCCTATTTATACTTTTCTATGAACTGATAGTTTTTCTAACATTTTGAGGATATAATGGGGCTCTGAAAGCTTTCTTCTGTTAGCAGTCTGCTTGTTGAGCTTTCCCATCACATTTCTGTTTTTTGCAGAGGTAGGATGATTCTTAGTTGTTTGTTCATGTTTATATGAATGCGAGTCTTAAATTGAACCCTTTACTCTGTAGCCCACACAGGGCACCTGTCGGCTTCTGGCTGCCCCCAGATCAGATCACAAGGAGTGGCTTCCTGTGTGGCCAGGCGGGGACAGATGTGACATGTGGCCCTGTTGATGTACCTGAGTCTCCAGGCCAGGCCAGCTGCACTGCCCAGCTGGCGTTGTGAAGGTCCTCCTGGCCTAGAGGAGGCTTCCAGGGGGAGCCCTGTGGCTTGGGGGCTTTTGTGTGGATCAGAGGATCTGCAGATTCTTGAGCAGTGTGAGTTACAGCCGTCCTTCCTCACATTCCCTGGGGCACTTGCCCTGCCGAGCACTGCCTGTATTTGTTTTCACGCTTGCTGTGCTCATGCCATAAGCCTGGAAGGATGCTGTTCAGCCACCTCTCAAATGGAAAGACAGGCCTTATTTTTACAAAATGTCGAAATTCTGAAGGTACCTCTGTGCTGATGCATTTACTTTTAGCATTCATTTATTGGGAGGAAGCCTCAGGAGAGTCAGCTATGGTTAGTTACTTAGGAATTGGTTCTACATCAATTTGTGTTTATTAATAACATCTTAGTACATTCAAAAACTGCACACATGCCTGTGTCATGATTTCTTCAGTCCACTGGTTGTACTTGCTGAAATAGCATGAATTTGGGGGGATGGGGAGTAACTGCTGATGGGTACAGTGTTTCTTTCTGGGATGATGAAAATGTACTAAATTGTGGTAATTGTCAAACAGCTCTGAATATACTAAAATCATTGAATTGTACAATTTAAGTGGGTAAATTGTGCAGTATGTGAATTATAGTATAATAAAGGTATTGTAAAATAACTTATTGCAATAATTCTAAGCCCCTCAAACCTCTGGGGAACCCCAGCCTGTGGGTTTGGGGGTTGGGGTGGGTCCCAGCCTCGGGTCAGCGCCCTCTGGGGACCACCTCTCTCTCACCTTTTGTTACGGGAGTTCTCAAACATGCACCAAGGAGCTGGTAGGGAGCAAGCACCCAGCGATAGTGTGTCTCCCATCAGAACCTCATTAGACTGTGGGGGTGGCTGTGTTCATCTGTCTGACATGCTGAGCATGTGGTGCTGATGGGGAGGCAGCGATTGGCTCTGTTGTCTTTCTGTCCAGTCGGTCAGGATCTTGGCTCTGCCTAGGCCCCAGCTCTGGGGACAGTGACCCTGATTCTGCATCGGTTCAGCCCAACTGGAGGCCTCAGAGCTGCATGGGCTCCGGGCAGGCCCCATTGGGTGCTTGAGGCAGCAGAGCTGCAGCAGGTCGGGGGAGCTCTGTGGGTGTGCTGACCACCAGGTCCCTGAGGTAGAGTCAGGCTTGTCCCCAGCTGTCAGACCACACACCGACTGCCGGTTCCTCGGGGCACTGGCTCCCTGGGTGCCCATCTTTGGCTGATGGTCATTGTTAGCAGCGTGTGTGGGGTGGGCAGGCCAGACCGTGAGCCAGATGAGACTGGAGGAGACCATACAGCCCTCGCCTACCCCAGCCCACGTCCTTGTCAAAGAAAGCAGGGAATCGGCTCTTAGCTTTTTGTGAACGAAGCAGGGGTCCTTGGCTTCTTTCCCTGGCCTGGTCTAGGGTGCCTTTGCTGGAAGAGAGAGGATGCTGGCTGGAACTGGGAGTCTGTGGTGGGATCCATCCACCCGCCGTGCCGACACAGCAGACGGAAGTGGGGATATGAGGTGGGCCCAGAGTGGTGCTGTAAACAGCTCTTGCCTCTCCAGCTCTCACCAGTGTTCTTGCTGTGGCCCCTGGGCAGCTTTGTTCTGCGCTGTGTACCACGTGGCCCACTGTACTCCTGAGGGGGGGGCAGCATGTCTGCTTTCTCTCTTGCTGCTGTCTTTTGGCCCATAGCTTATGGGATGGGCTTGCTCCAGGAAGATGTGTGTGTGAGATATGTCCTGGGGCCAGCTGACATCCTGGCCACCTGAGGGCCTGGCGCCCCCTCCCTCCGTGAAAGAGCTGGGGTGGCACGTGCCCTTGCCAGGATGGTGCATAGTAGGCTGGAACAATGCCTTCCTCTCTGAGCCTGGAACCTGTCCAGGCAGCGGCTCTTGGAGGAGAGGCTGGTGTGGGGGCCTGCTGGCTGGGGCAGACAGGGTGCTGCAAGGAAGGCTGGGCAGGCATAACCCAGCTCTCTGGCTGTTGGAGCAGGAGGCGGAGACTGGGGCACACAGCTGTGGGGCATGTGTCCCCTGGCAGGAGGCTGTGTCTGTGGAGACATTGCTTAGTAGTGGAGAGTAGCAGCAGGCTGGCCAGCCCAGACAGCCTTTTCTGGATACCTTGGGCTCGGGGGTCCTTGAGAGAGACACACGCACCACACTACCCATGCCCACCCGGGGCTGGAACTAATGCCGTTCAACGAGAAGAGAGTTGCATGCGCCTGAAAATCATAGGACATTCTCACCCAGTGTCCATACATAAAATTTTACTGGAACACATGCAAAAAGTGAACTTAAAAACATGAAAGGCAAAGGGCAAACCTCTATTCTTAGTCTTAAATTGCTGAGGCAGTCATGTGACACTTTTATTTATTTTTAACAAAGTTGTCAGTTAATGGACAGTTGGGAATCCGCGGTAACGTTTCGTGTTGTGTCCTAGGGAGGCGTCAGATCCATCACCTGGGGAACCAGCTGCAGCTGAACCAACACTGCCTGGACACAGCCTTCAATTTCTTCAAGATGGCCGTGAGCAAGCACCTGACCCGCGGCCGGAAAATGGCCCATGTGATCGCGGCCTGCCTCTACCTGGTGTGCCGGACGGAAGGCACACCACGTATCCTTTGGTTCCGGGGCCTCTTGGAGTACCCCTGTCTTGGCTCTTGGTCGGCCTCCCTCCTATCTTGGGCTCGGTCACTACAATAACTTGGTGTTTGTGTTTAGTTGCAGCACCTTGTTGGATTAACGGTCAGGGTGAGTGCAGGGCTTTCTGGACTTGAGGTAGCCTTCCACCGATGTAGGAGCTGTGGAGCTGGGCACCCGCCCCTCCTCGGCCCTTGGGGAGGACGGAGTGGGCACTGTGCCGGCCGCTCTTCAGCATCTTCCCGTGGTTGTCCGGTTGTAGGCAGGCCGGTGTCCTGCAGTGCGGGTGGGTGGCTGTGCAGAGGCCTGCTGACTTCCCCCCCATCCGCCAGCCTCCCCTTCTCTGAGAGGACTGTGGTCTGCCCTCTTCTTGTGCTTAGATGGCTGTGCATGCATGATGAGCATGGCCTGCGCTCCCCACTGCCCTGCAGATGTTCACGTGCATCCAGAATTCTGTCCATTGCACCTTCCTGAAGAAATCCTTCCGGGGCTTTCTGGCCCTCCACTTTGGCCGTCTGCACCCGAGAACATCTGAACATGGTCTTCCTGCCACCCTCACTCTTGGGGAAAGCCTGGTGGAATTCCAGGTTGCAGACTGGTTCCCCAGAATTTGGAGGGCGGTGCCTCCCAAGTTCCAGTCCAGCATTTCTGTGCCCTGATTCCCAGTCCTGCGTCTGTGACGGAGGGCTGTTCTCAGGGGCCTGTAGTGCCTCCCTCTGTTCTCACTCGGTCTCCCCGTGCTGAGGACCCACAAGCCTTCCGTCCACAGCTTCCGAAGCCGCTCTGGTTTCTCCCTCTGTGTGTCGTGTCCACTCTGCTGCCCCACTGACCTGCCTCCTGTCTTTTCCTTCCTCTTCTGCATGATTTATCTCTTGCCTTGGGGGAAGGCCTAAACATAATCTTTCAATGAGGTCTTTGTTTCTGTTGTCATGTTTTTAATTCGAAGAGCTCTTTGTGTTCTCTGAATGCTTCCTTTTTGTGAAATCCCATTGTGTGTGGATGTGGTGTCTTCTCATCTCTTGTTGGAAGCAGCCATCGTCTCTGAGCTCTCTTTTCCCGTGGTCTGTTGGTCTGTTGCAGGCTTTCCTCGCTGGCAGGTGGCCTTGGCTGTCTGCTCCTGTTTAAGTGGGGAGCGCCAGGAGGGTCCTGGAGACAGTGTGCATGGGTGGGTGTGTGTCGACCTTCAGTATCCGAGTCTTTCATTAAAATGTCTTTTTAAAATCTTGAAGTTTATCATTTTAGCATAAGTGTGTCTAAAGCACACGTATGCTTTAAGTGCTGACGTCTACCACGCAGGTTAACGATAGAGCCCACCTTGTGGCTCACATCTCAGCCCTCCTTCTGCCAGAGTTGCCACCGCCCAGGGTTGTGTCAGTTGCCACCTGGCCTTTCTTTATCCTCTGAGCGCCCATGGGTGTCCTGGAACAGTGAGAGGCCTGCCTTGCCTTGCTCTAAGGAGGACTGTGTCACGCCGGAGGAGGGCCCTGCAGGGTGGGCACACAGAGCTCGGGGTCAGGGTCTGGCCCTGCCCCCTGAGAGTTTACAGGAGCCGCTGGAGCTGTTGGGGCCGTTACAGGATGCAGGTATGCAGGCCAGGCTCAGGAATGTGGCTGAAGCATGAGGGGGTGAGCTGCTTCTGCCCCTGCCGGAGCCCCCCTGCACTCCCAGTGGGTCAGAGCAGATGCTCCTGTGGGGAGAAGGGGCGGGAACCTCGTCATGAGGTGGTGCAGACAAGTTAGACAGACAAGTCCGTGCCTTGTGCTCTGCAGGTGGGAAGGAGAGCGGCACAGCCCCTGCAGACAAATCGGGTACCCTGGGCCCGGGAGGCCCACTCCTCCTGTCTGCCGAGAAAGGCATGGATGTCTGCACACACACTTGTGCGTGACATTCGTATTCCCAGCAGCACCAGGCACTCTCGCCAAAGGTGGAAGCAACCAGACATCCCCTGCTGATGAGTGGGGGCACAGTGGGCGCATCCACACAGTGGGCTGTCACTCAGCCACAGAAAGGGACCAGGTAGTGGGTGAACCTCGGAAACGTGACGCTCATGAAGGAAGCCGGGCACAGAAGGCCACGCGTTGTGTGATTCCTTTTGTACAAAATGCCCAGAACAGGGGAATCCACAGAGACAGAAAGCACATCAGTGGTTGCCAGGGGCTGGGGGAGGTGATAGCTGAAGGGCTGGGGTTTGTTTTTGATGATAAAAATGTTCTAAAATTAGATATAGTGATGGTTGCACCACTCTGTAAATAGACTAAGAACCATTGGACTGCACACCTTGAGCAAGTGAATTTGTGGCAGTAACTTTGACCTCATAAAGCTATTAAATATGAGATGGCAGGTTGTGGGGAGGCCAGCGGCCGGCCCCTGGGCCTGTGAGTGGTCCCCTCAGCAGCCTCGCCCCAGGCCAGCTTCAGGATGGCTGCTTTTGGGAAGGCAGGTGGGGGTGCAGGTGTGACACGGTCCTTTCTGTCCTCCTCTGGTTGCTAGCACCACCAACCCCCCCTCACCCAGCCAGGGTCCCCAGACTCATCTGGGACATGCCTGGGCTCTCACCTCCCCTCTCTCGTTCCTTCCCCTTTGCCCTCCCTGCCACCCTGGCTTGGCTCTGCGGTCCCTGTCCTGGTGCTGCCTCCTTTCCTTCTACATAAACTCCAAGCCCCTGGAGTGCACGCGAAGGCCCTGCTCTCTTCTCCTTGTCTTGGACTGCCTGCAGCGCCCCCAGTGTCTCCACCGCCCCCCTGGGTATGCCAGGCCTTACACGCAGCACCCCTACTCCCCGACTCACAGAGGGGTCTCACGCGTGTGAGGGGCAGGCTGGGAAGAGACTTGCTCTCCAGACCTTCTGTCCCTGGGCCACGGCAGGCGTCATTGCCAGGCAGGTGACCCGGGCCAGTGTGTTTCCCTAAGAGCCATATGTCCAGATTCGTTAGTGCAGCCTTTTGTGACACAGGCAGCAGTGGGAGGTGCGTTTTTGCCCACAGCTGGTTTTAAGTCTTTGTTATTTATTGGGTTTTTGCTGAGCTGCCAGCAGGCCTGTGTGTGAGCAGGTGAGTCGAAGCCAGGAAGCTGGTGTTACCTGTCATCCCTGCAGGAGCCCTGGGCAGGGACACAGGTCTGCAGAGTGCTCCCATGGCTGACTGGCTGCGGCCTGCCTGCCGCTGCCTTCAGACCCTTCTCCTCTCCCAGGCTTCTGACTGTGCATTCACACCTGCGAGGGCTTGTTAACAGCAGGTTCTGGTTCACAGGTCTGGGGTGGGCTTCCAGAGTCTGAGCTTCTGCCCCTCCAGCCACCCCTTCAGCGTGTCCCTCTCCTCAGGTTCAGCTGAGGACCTTGTTTCTCACAGCGCAGTCGGGGACCCTCCCTCCTCCTGCCACCAGGCTCCCCAGGCCACATTTACCCGCTTCTCTCTGCTCCCCTCTGCTCACCTCCCCAGGGACAACCAAGGAGTTAAAAATGTTTTTGAATAGACTTTATTTTTCAGAGCAGTTTCAGGTTCACAGCACAATTGAGAGGAAGGTACAGCAGTTTCCCATATCCGCACCCCCCCACACACAGCCTCCCCCTTGTCAACATCCCCCACCAGAGTAGGGCGTTGTTACAACTGAGGAGCCTATGGTGACCATCGTCATCACCCAGACCCTGTGGTTTACACTGGGGTTCACTCTTGGGGTTGTACGTTCTGTGGGTTTGGCACATGTGTAATGACGTGTGTCCATCGTCATGGCACCACACAGAGAGTACGTGGTCAAGAGAAGGCCTCAGGATGGCTGGTTAGCGTCTGTCAGGTACCCAGCATCACTGGGCAGAATGAAGTTGCAAGTTCAAACCCACAACAGGCTGGAGTGGCGATGACTGCCTGTAGCCGGTGTTGGCCAGCCTGGGCCCCTGGAGCTCTGGAACTCCTGCCTGCCAGGGTCCAGTGACGCTTGGCGTGTGCACACCCTGGGGTCCAGCAGTCCCACGCTGCTCTGCCGTAGCATCCAGGCCGTCAGCAGTGTGAGCAGGGTGGTGTCCGCACGGGAGATCGCCTCCCCCTCCTGGCTGCCTTCTGTCCCTCGAGGGCATCTTTTGATGAACGTAGTTCTTAATTTTAATGAAGTCCAATTTATCTGTCTTCTCCTTTATGGTTAATGCTTTTGCACCCCACTGAGGAAATCTTTCTCTGCCCTAAGTCATGGAAATACTCTCCTATGTTCCCTTCTAGAAGCTTTTGGTTTTACATTTCCCATTGGAGTTTAGGATTTTGGAAGAGTTGGTTTGTGTGTCTGTTGTGAGGAAAGGGCCAGAGTTTGCTTCTTCCCACTGGGTGTCCCGGTGACCAGGAGCCGTCTGCTGAAGACCCTCCCTCCCAGTGCGCTTCTGGCACCGCTGTTGCGAACCCCGTACATGTGGATCTGGTGCTGGCGTCTCTGACCCCTTCTCTTGGTCTGTTTGCCTGTCCTTGTGCCAAGACCAGACTGCAGTTGTCCCTTGGTCTCCGCAATAGATTGGTTCCAGGACCCCCCACCTCACCTCTGGGGATACCAAAATCCTCGGATGCTCAAGCCCCTTACATAAAACGGTGTAGTATTTGCATATAACTTACGCACATCCTCCGGTATACTTTAAATCATCTCTAGATTACTTATAATAACTAATAGAATGTAAACGCTGTGTAAAGCGTTGTTATACTGTATTGTTTAGGGAATGATGACAAGAAAAAAGTCTGTACATGTTCAGTACAGATGGAACCATCACAGGCCTTTCCATCTGCGGTTGGTTGAATCCAGGGATGCGGAACCGCAGATGTGGAGGGCCGACTATTTTAAGAACAGTGGTTTGTAGTATGTCTCGAGATCTGTAGCACGAGACCTCAAACTCCAGCTGTTCTGCCTCAGGGATGTCCGGGCTGTTCTTGGGCCTCTGTTTTTCTGTATAAATTTTTGAATCAGATTGTCCATTTCTGTAAAAAGCTTTCTGGGATTTGGATT